CAAGGCGCTGGGTTCTTGCAGGTGTGGATGTGGTCTGGATGTTGTCCTGTGTCCTGTGGTCTCTATTTTAGGAAGATTTTCTTTGTTATATTTTCATAGCTCTATGTGTTTTTGGGAGGAGATTTCCACTGCTCTACTCACGCCGCCATCCTGGCTCCGCCCCCCTCTCCAGTGACTTTTATGTGCACCAAAGTGAAGTACCTCTGGCCTGAAGTATAAAAAAGGAGCTGAACGTTTGGTTCCAGTCATAGGTGAGCCACATGCCAGGGGGATTTCTGGTTATACAGCAGTGAGTGAAGAAAAGGAGAAATCCAAAATGTGTTCTCTGAACACCAGCAAATATGCAACATGCTAATTAAGTGTTCTGCATAGCTTTTCCCAGAACCCTTTCTTTTTTTTTTAAATGTATTAAAAGTAAAGACTTAATTGTTTGTTACTTACATATTTTAGGAATGTCTGTGACAAAAAATGATATTTTGAGATTTATCAGTGTCTCAGAAAGTTACATTATATGCACATTCCAGTCATATGAATGTCAGTATTCCAAATATAATCTGGCATAACCCTTCAACATTCTAATTTCAAGATTATATTAACTTAAAAATAATTTTTTTTATTAAGGTATGAGTGATACACACTTACGAAAGTTTCACATGAAAAAGCAATGTGGTTACTACATTTACCCATATTATCAAGTCCTCACCCATACTCCAATGCAGTCACTGTCCACCAGTGTAGCAAGATGCCACAGATTCACTGTTTGCCTTCTCTGTGCTGCACTGTTCTCCCCGTGATTCCCCCACACCAGGTGTACTAAACATAATACCCCTCATTCCCCTTCTCCCTCCCCTTTGGTAACCTCTAGTTCGTTCTTGGAGTTTCTGAGTCTGCTGCTATTTTGTTTCTTCAGTTTTGCTTCGTTATTATACTCCACAAATGAGGGAAATCATTTGGCATTTGTCTTTCTCCGCCTGGCTTATTTCACTGAGCATAATGTCCTCCAGCTCCATCCATGTTCTCAGAACCTGTTCTTATAAAATAAGTTACAAAAGTCTCTCCACAGACTGATTTTACTATACATCTGGCTTTTCCTTTATTTTCACAGGAATATTTTTACTTTGTTCAGTGTATTTTTTCACTGAACTGCAATAAAAACATGTCTGCTTCTAATATTTAAAAAATAAATCAGGAAAGAGCAAGGAGATATTAGGAGTATAGTCTTTATTTCTCTTTGGTTTGTTAACACAAAAGACATGCATTCTATAAATAAAAGGAAGTAAGATTTTTCTGGGAAACAATAAATTGGGGGAGAGGAGAATTTCTACCTACTCACATCTCTGTGACCAAGTCAAAAGGCTGCTCTTCAGCTCCCATCCTGGTTTTGATTTCAGAGGAACCCCAGACGAGAAGGTTCTATGTGTCATCTAAGAAGAGAAAATGCCCAAGGATAACATATGTCACGGTCCTCTGCTCAGAGCTGGGCTAGAGCCCAAGGCTCAGTGAGTGCCGTATCTGTCTTACCTCACTGTTACACCCTTTTTACAATATCCTTGGGTGACATCTTTTTTTTCACGGTGCTATTGGAAAGGATCCAACACCAAAGAGCCAGACCAGCCATTTGCAGTCATTCACCATCAGACTGAGGAATTGACTGAAGAGTGTGAAAATTGACTGAAGAGTCTGTTAATTTGTGCTCACAGCCCAGATCAAAGCACTGGCTTCATCTTACTTAGAAACACTGACCATGGGTGCAGCAGTGTGACTTCCACACCAGGTTGTGGGAGTGGACTCAGGAAGGCCACTACAAGAATAGCAGATGATGGAAAAAGGACTTAGCATCCCCAGTGGAAAAGTCTGGACTGGCATCCTAAGGACATGCTGAGGCCCACTCATTTAGCCCACTGACTGACTCTTAATACCTTCACAATCCAGCTTGTCAATGCTGCTTCAAATCCACAAACGGAAAGGGCTTATAAGACGATGAGCACTGATATCTCCTCTCTAATGGGAAACACAGACCCCAACCACGTTCCAAGTCTACCTCTGTAGGCTAACCGAGGAGTAAGAAACACTGGAGCTCCACTGGGAGCCCAGGCTAACCTGTATCAGGTTGTTGAGTCTTTTAAAATAAAAACATCATTTTCAAGTGCTTGTAGCAGAGGTCCAGCTCCTAAGTGGCAGGTAGCAAAGGAACTTCCCTCTGGCTACATGGCGATTGCACACACTGGTGAATCTCACAGTCCTGGGATGGGAGAGACATCTCAGGATCCATCCACACTGTGCCTTTCTTAACAGGCTTCCAGGCCACCCCAGGCAGCAGCAAAGAAAACCAACCAGGTGGAGAACCAATCTTGCATTAAAGGAATTGTATCCTCTTCGGGTTACTACTGGAAGATTTTAGAAACCAGATTTTGGCAGCAGCAGTTGAAGGACAGCCCCACTGCCCAGTGCGCTGGTAATAGGAAGTGTCCTCCTGTTTGGGTCCTGCTGTGCTACATGAGGGGTCCATCCACTGAGGAAGGAGGAGCATGGAGTCTCTTCAAGAGGTCATATGCTAAGATCAGCGGAAGAAATATAAAATCTGTTCTTTGCAGCAGCAAGAGATTCTTTCGGTCTTCAGTTCTTTATGTCATGAAGTCAGCTTTGCTTGAACATAAAGGTTCACCTTGCTGGTCAGTTAGCCAGGGGCTGGAGGGAAGCCAAACCCTGGGCATTGGCGAGTGGATGGAGGAGCAGTGGACTGGCAGGGCAGCGAGATTACTGGACCAAGCCAGACCATGGCTGGTGGGAGGACCATGTCCCTGGTTAGGTTATAGAGGTACAAATGGTTAATGTGCCCCAGAAGCATCATAAAGAGGAACATTATTCAAGAATGATAGACGGGCAAGTGATAATCTAGCCAGACCTGCTGTCTCCTGCTGGTCAAATAAGGAAGGAACATGGGGACAGGGAATGGGAATGAGGGCCATGGTGGCAGTGGGAGGTAACCAGAGGGCATCTGGAGCCTCCAGCAATGAGCTGGGAGCTCCCACCCAGAAGAGTGGCAGTAATTCAGCCAACTCACTATGCTTAACATTAAAAAAGTCCTCTGATGGTGGGTGTGAAGACAAACCCCATGAGCACCTTGCTACAGGACCAGTCGAGAGCACTGATCTCAGACATGCTGGGGCTCAGAGGGAACCCCAAGTGCTATGCGAGGCCTCAGGACCCTAGGATCCAAATGTGGGGGTGGATACCACCCTTTTCATGTTGGGTGGTCTTCAATTTAAACACTTATTTGCCTTCAGCATCTTTTGTTTTCTTCTTGCAAAAAAATGTTCACTTAAAAAAAAAAGTAGTTTTCTTTCCAGTTTCTTTCAAGTATTTTTCTTTTGTTTTTTTGTTACTTCTGAGCAAGATGAAAAAGACCGCACTGAAATCCCAAAATCAGACACAGGAAAAGCTTCCGTTCTTCCTGGTTACCCAACAATGAGGACAAAATCCTGTGTCCTGAATGGAAGGAGGAGGTGCTTATGCGCAGCCAGCACACTGCTGTGGCTGCATCACTGGAGGCAGTGAGAACACCTGGAGTGTCCTTCCTCTCCCAGCCACACCCTGGTTTCCAACAGGCTTGACCACTGCAGCCGTCCCATCAAATTGGCCACAGTATGGCCGGAGGATAGCGGGCGAGAAGGAGAATCAGATGGAAGGTGTTCTGCAAGGGGGTGGCCCACAGAGCTGTGGCAGGTGGGAGCTGGCTTGGATGGAGCCTGTGTATGTGCAGACCTGCAGAGCAGTCCTGTGTCACCAGCTGTGAACCCAGAGGGGCTTGCTTCTGTCCTGTGCATTGTGATGACCTCAGTCTGACGGTCACAAGGGCAGCACAGTGAGGGAGGACCTAAGCACCTGGAGAAACTGTTCCTCCAGCGAGCTCACATTTCACACCTTCTTCTGATCCACCGCCTCTCCCGTGAAGGACGGTCCCTGGAAGGAAGTGCCTATATTTGTACCACATCCCTACTCCACACATCCCACCCTCTCTGCCTTAGATGGTGAGGAGAGGGATGCAGCCTACACCGACCCCTCCCTCATGACAGGCCATGGGGGCCATAAATGTCCAGCGCTCTGTCTCTGGGTCATACATCTCCACTGAGCTTAGGTTCGACTGTCCGTCATAGCCCCCCACAGCGTAAAGACGCCCACAGCTGGCCACCAGGGAGACACGGCTCCGGCGTGTGTGCATGGGGACTATCAGGCACCACTGGTCTGCCACACAGCTGTACACCTCAGCAATGCTGAGGAAGCCGGAGCCATCATAGCCCCCGCAGACAAACATCTTGCTTCCCAGGGAGGCAGCTCCATGGCGGCAGCGCTTGCTGAGCATGCCGGCTGCTGGATGCCAGGTGGCTGTATGGTGATTGTAGTGCTCCACCTGCAGCAGGGAGAGAGGCACAGACGTAGGACAGTCAGAGCCAAAGCACAGTCATCAGAGTGATATCATGGGGCACAGTGTCAGACTCCAGCAGGAGGCCTGGGACAAGGAGCTCAGCCAGTGTGTGATCTGGCTCTGATGCCCGGTGTCCTCAGTGGCATTCCTGCTTTTGGGCTTTATGGGGATGGTGAGAGGTCACCTAGACTGACCCTCTCTGGAAACAGATAAAGGACTGGCCAAGGACGCAATGCTATGCAGTGACAGAGCTGGAATGGGGTGGGGGTCTCCTAAAATCTGTCTAGTGTGCATTCCACCACAGAGCTGGCTGACTCCATGCAACTACTACTAAATGGCTGTTGAAGTTTTTTTAAAAAACAAATCCAATTTCAAACAAAGAATCTGGGAGAATACAACTGCAAACTCACAGTACATAACTGCAAACTCAGTCTGTAACTGAGCTCACTGTAGGCAGGAATTTCACCAAGTCTCATGCAGCATTTGATGGAGAACTGAAGAGGGTGAGGGTGGTGGAGTTGAAAGTATGTGTATAAATGTGGCTACACTTCCTCCCACTTTTACACACACTGATTCCCATTCTCAAAATTTTAGGGCAAGTGGGAGATGGTCTGAAGCTTCACTAGGGGATGCTTCACCCAGCAGTGGCAAGGCTGAAGTTTCTTCCCAAAGAACTGCCTTTCAAAATAACTCTCAAAGATGGAAGGAGTAGCCCAGGAGAAGCCCAGACTCACACTGTTGAAGATCTGCAGACCGTCGTGGCCACCCGACACATATATCCTGCCCTCAAAGACTGTAACCCCAGCAGCACTGCGATTCGAGCTCATCGGGGTCACCACTGTCCACCTTCAGGGAAGAGCCAAAGTAGGAGGGGAGCCATGAGATTTGATGTGTTATCTTCACAAGACAGCCTAAGTGGGTTTGGGCAAACTGTGCTGTGTTCCCTTGTGCCCTGGACAACCTCCCCACCTCCTACTGCCTCTACCACTACTGCTGCTGATGGTTCTCTCTGGCTGCTCTCACCCAAACTTCAGACCCACAGCTGGTCTCCGCTCATCTCTACAGGTACTCAAAATAAGCAAGTCCCAAACAAGGCCTCTCTTTTACAGATCTGCTCTTCCCCTGCACTCCCCAGTCTTGTTAATGGGACTGCCAGCTATCTAGTTGCTGTACTTACAAACTCTGCTTTTGTGTGGCCTCTTCTCCCTCATTCTCAACATTCCTGGGGCCTCACCTGAACTCCTGTACCAGCCTCCTTATAGGTGGTCTAGCTCTCAGACCATTCCCATCCCAACCCTGGGCAGCTTGTCCCCCTGGTGGCCCCTTACTGTTGCCTCTAAGGAAGAGTCCAAGTTCCCTAATGCGGTTTCTCACCACTTGGTCCTCATCTACTTTCCAGTTTGACATCCTGTCATGTGCCATGCACACCTGCTCCTCAAAAACACTGAGCACTTCCTCATCTCTGAGCCTTTCTTCTTACTGTTTCCCTGCCTATGATGTGCAGTGCATCTCCTACCATCAATGATGGGTCTCCTCTCAGAAGACATCCCTGCAACCCTGCCTCTCCCCTGACTACGGCAAAGATGAAGGTGCTCCCCACTTTGTGCCCACAAGCTCCAGACACAAATCTCCAGGGTTGGATGATCAGGACGCACCCATGGCCCCAGCAGACAGGGTGCTACTTAGGATCTTGGATATCCAGCTTGCTGCCCAATGCACAGTGAGTTGGTTAAGTGAATGGCATATTGGCTTAACAGCATTCTGATGAATCCACTCATCTAATTTGCTTATATTTTTTATATAGTGTGAGAAGATTCAATTTCATTTCAAATTGAAATGAAAAATTCAGGCTAACCCTGTCAGTGTTTTCCAAACAGTATTCCACAGTGTAATTCCACAAGATGGTGAGAGGTGTTAGATTAGATTAAATTGGTTTCTTTACCACAGAATTTTTTCAGTCTTTAAAATATCAATATGTATTATGAAAAGATAAGGACTCAGATGGTATAGACATCATTGTTTTCTGAGCTCATTTTGCCATTTGATCACATAACTTTCTCTCCTTCCTTTTTTTTTCAAATCATATCTTATCCAAATCATACCTATACTACTTAAAAAAGTGCTGCTCATCTATTTCTTATCCCCTTTCACCAGCATTTCCATTAAAAAGGGCTGATTTAGCTAAGAGGTGCAGGCCATTGTTTCCAAGTACATATATATATATATATATATATAGACTATTTGTTTTAGAAATTTATTTAGTTATTCATTCATTTAACCGAAGGTTATTACAAACCTATTATATGCAAGGTACTACAGGGGTTGAAAAGGTAAGATATTCTCTATCCTTGAGAAGCTCAAATAACAAACTGCAGTTCTCATTTTTATACTCTGTTTAACAAGCTCCAGTTGCCCCAGGGGATCTGGAGTCTTACTTGTCCGTCTCAGGTGAGTAGGTCTCCACAGAGTTGAGAGAGGAGTTGCCATCATAGCCCCCACAGACGTAGATCTGCCCATCCAGCACGACCGTCCCCATGGCACTGAAACAGACAGAGCTGTCATCCCAGGTGGGTCTGACTTTCTGTGGCAGCCTCTCATGCCCACGGAGAAATAAACCTAACCATCAGCTGTCTCTTTCTAGAAGAGAGCTAAATCTTATTATATTATAATGTGACTAAGTAAAGGTGTACAATGTGGGGGTGGGGGTGGGGCAGGGGGAGGGAGAGAGAAATAAGTAAATAATATCAAGGGGAAAGAAGCTGCCCTGCAGTTCCTCTTGTCTCCCTCCCTCTCTTCTCAGGGCTTGATTTGTCTGAGATGCTCTTCTTCTCCCTTGCTGTGCTCAGGGACAGATTTATCTTTAAGGCCCAAATCACATTTTTCTCTCTCCTCTTCACAAAGCCACCCTCGATCCCTTAGCAAGAATCACTTTCTCCCAGCCCCACACTGCCAGAGCAGCTTCATTACAGCACCTGCCATAGCCAGTCAGTCATCAGATTTTCACCAGATATTCAGGAGGCACTAGTTTCAGAGCAGTGAGCAAATGAAAGCTCCTACCCACAGATGCTACATTCTAGCACCACAGGGTACTGCGAATTTAGCTGCTACCTCTTAACAAGTGAGGACCTCCTGGAAGATGGGGATCTTCATCTGTGTTACTCTGACAGTGCTTAGCATGGTGTTTTGTACAGACAGGCCTTAAACATGTTTGTTTGATTATCCTGATTTTTCTCATTTCACTATCAAGTCATTATAAACGTGGTCCTGCGTAGCCCCTAATTTGTCCCAGTGGATAATGCTACAGGCTCCTGTTTGTTGCACATGTACTACATGTATCAGGTATTCTATGCTTGATGTTTCCCACCCTCACCACACCCTCTGAAGAAGTATCACCATCATTACCGTACAGACATGCGGCCGAACACTGGGAGGCTGGGCTCTCTTCTCAAGGCTGCCCAATGACAGGCATGCCTTAGATTTATTTATTAATGCCCACCCCAACTATATTGTTACTATCTTTCAACACAGATGTTACAGAACCACTAATATTCTCTATGCTGTACTTTCATCCCCATGACTAGTTTATATTATGATTGATGTTTTGTGCCTGTTTATCTGTATTTCACCCACCCACCCCAAACCCTCCTCCCATAGTAACCATAGACACTTCTCAGTGTCTATGAGTCTATTGCCGTTTTGTCCATTTTGTTTTGTTTTTAGATTCCACATATACGTGAAATCACAGGGTATTTGTTCTCTGCCTGGCTTATTTCACTAATCATAATACCTTCTAGGTCCATCAAGTTGTTGCAAAGGCAGGCTTGCTTTCTTTTTTACGACTGAATAACATTCCATGGTGTATATGTACCACATCTTCTATTCATTTATCTATCGATGGACACTCTGGTTGCTTCCATATTTTAGCTATTGCAAATAATGTGGCAATAAACATAGGGGTGCATATATCTTTTCAAATCAGGGGTTTTGTTTTCTTTGAATAAATTCCTAAAAGTGGAATTATTGGGTCACACAGTATTTCTTTTTTAGTGTTTTGAGGAACCTCCATACTGTTTTCCACAGTGGCTGCACCAATTTACATTCCCACCAACCAGTGCAGGATTTTCTCCACATCCTCACCAACACTTGTTATTTCTTGCCTTTTGGATAGTAGCCATTCTGACTGGTATAAGGTGACACCTCATGGTGGTTTTGATTTGCATTTCCCTGATGATTAGTAATATACAGCATCTTTTCATATGTGTCTGTTTGCCATCTGCAGGTCTTCTTTGGAAAAATGTTTATTCAGGTCCGCTGCCCATTTTTTAATTGGGTTGCTTTTTTTGGTGTTCAGTTGCAGGAGTTCTTTATATATTTTGTAGGTTAGTTCTTATTGGATATATCATTTTTGGATATATTCTCCCATACAGTAGGTTGCCTTTTTGTTTTGTTGATGGCATGCCTTGGATTTAAATAAGAGCCCAACTTCCATGCTGTTCACCATGCCAAGCTTTCCTAATACCAAAGATGCAGGGGTGTGGCATAATCATGTAATTTTTTTGTTCTACACAAAAGCTCATGAGAAATTAAACATGAATGCCAAGCTGTCTGATTCAGTTTTGATGCTAGGAAGATTAAAAATGAGTCTAAGCATCTAATAAACAGGAAAATAAACCGATGTTCCTCTGAGGTACATGGTAACAGACCCCCCAAACCAGCCTGAAAAAGGAAATGGACCTGCCTCAGGCAAGGACTGTGGGAAGACCACAAATTTACTGGACATGTCACTATCCTTCTAGAAGTGGACATAAGTAACAATACAGGAGTTCAACAATAACCTAAGAAAAAACTAAGAAGTACCACAAAACTATGTGAGATTAAGTATCAACCAAGTGGTAAAGACAAGGGTGAAGGGATACGGGGAAACACTGGTCAATATGGACTGGAACAGTCCAAGAGAGAAAACTCCACTGGAACAGCCTGGAAGCCTGTAGGAGAGGGGAAGGAACGATCACAGGAAGGAACGATTGCAGGAAGGAGGTTGTCACCATCTGGCAGGACAGAGAGTTGTGTGGCACGTCAACAGAGATGCGGCCGAGAACATTTTAAGATACCCTGTAATTTAAAAGGGATGAAATGGAGCTGGGTCTAGGCTACTAATAACAGGGCATTAACTACATCGAAAGAAAGGAATACCTGGAGGACTTTCCTCCAGGACAACACTCCAAATGCTGTGACATCAAAGCAAGGAAGCTACCCAGAGCAGGCGCATGAGGAAGAACAACTGACTGCTGTGAAAACAAGAAAGGCACTCATGGCTGGGGGTATGGAGCAATGATCATTTGAGGCCACAGAAATTGGAAATACCCAAGGAGTAGGAAGGGGAAGCAACGAGGTAGAGAGAGTGGGAGGAAGGAACCATGAGAGTGTACTAGCTTAAGGCCTTGGGAGGAACAGATATTTAAATAAATTTTCTTCTTCCAAAAGGAACTTTTGACCCTTTGTAAATTTGGTCTAACTGGTGCAGAGACGGATTCCTCCTGGCTCAAGGTGACATGCTAACACTGCAGAACATGGAGCATGTACATCACGGCCATGACACTTTTATGTGGTAAAAGACATCCCCACTGACTTTTCTTCCTCACCACACATGCAGTCACATGATATTGCAAGTAGAAAAACAAAGCATGGACAGATAAAGGAGTGTGTAAGGCAACTACTTTGACCATAGAATCACAAAGCAGAAAGGCCTGAGAATACAAAGCAACTGGCTGTAGTTTTCAAACTGTCCCTTTCAAAAAAGAATTGAGGTAACTTTTTTCCCTACAATTGGGCATATGTCAAGGAAGCTCAATACACTGAAGAGATCAATGCAGAGCTGGTTTGATTAAATAGGCAGGGGCTCCTGTCAGTCTCGGGAGTGAAACACAGAGTGCCATCTGAAACCACTGATGTGCTGCGGCCTCACCAAAGGCAGAACAGAATAGGCTGTCTAGTTACTCCTCCCACCACCCAGCCATGCACATACTCAACATACTGATGTAAGGAAAGACGCCATCACTGTAGCATCAAGAAGGCTAACTGGAGGCACTGTCTGGCTGCCTCCAATCCCATTTCTCATAGGAAGTATGAGCCCGCAAGTGATGGAGGAAATAAGTAGCTGGAATGTGTTAAGAGACAGACTTGGTCCACCTCACAAATACCTACACACTTATGTCTCAGAGAATGGGGTAGGGGAGCTGGAGTAAAGAACATTGCTATGGTTTATAGATTCCCTGGGTAGTGGAAGCTCATGTGTGGCAGGGATTCTGGGGGAAAGAAAGCATAAAGAGAAACACTTCACATTTCCTTTTATCACTAATACAGTTAAATCCTTCTTATTCTTCAAGACTGAACTTTAGTCCATTTCTTCCCTGAAATATTTGAGACATTCTAGTTCAGTTTCTCCCCATCCTCAAATCTTCCATAGTACACATTTTCAGTCCTTATCTGGCACTTAAATGACAATACAATTTCCACATGCCTCTGTCTCATTGCCCCAAGCTCCCCAAAGGACCAGGCAAGGATTTTCCTTTTAAGCAACTGGGGCTGGGCTCCCAGGTGGTATGGGCAGTGCATGGTCTGGCTGAAGGAAATTCCCTGGCCAAAGCCTGTGTTTTATTTGATTATGAGCCCCTGCCTGTCTAGCATAGCCCTTCCCAGATGCTTAGTGCATGTGTGGGTAGAACAATGTCTTCCAAAATACCTTCTTTTGCTATTCATGCTCCCCACTCTGGTCCATGTGTCTGTCTCTGGGTTGTAGACCTCCACAGTGCTCAGCCGTAGCTGGCCGTCATAGCCCCCGATGGCGTAGAGAAGTCCATTCACCACAGCCACACCGACACGGCTGCGGGCTGTTGTCATGGGATGGCACTTCTCCCAGCAATTGGCGATGGGGTCAAACACTTCCACCACATTCAGGGAATCACCTGCATAAAAATTTGCTACTCAAATTAAAACAAATGAGACCACTCGTTTAGATCACGGCTGTTGGGCATTGGTTATATGGAACGTTTGACTTAATTCTATCTGCTCTTCCCACAGAATTACCCAAGCCAGAAAGGCCCACTAAGAAGTTCCAGCCATGATAAACACAGCCTACTTCCTTAAGGAAAATCAGAATTAGACAGGAGGCATTTAAGTTCTAGAGACGGCAGTTTTAAATTGCAGTGAGTTATTCCATCTGCTGAAAGCCAAAGACGAAGGCAAATGGATACATCATTTCCCCAGTGGAAAGGGAATGGGTTCCAATGCCTACTTTTCATTTTGCAGGTGACCCTGGGTAAGTTTGTATCCCCACCATATGTTCTCACATGTGAAATGGAGATGAGATTCTCTGTGGCAGAGTTACCATGAGGATTAAGTGACATAATAGGTAAAGTACCTAGCATACTTCTAGAACATACCAAGTGCTCAATAAATAACAGTCATAGTAGCAAGAAACGGTAATTCCAACCTTACCCTCTATATCAGGTATTTTTAGGATCAGATAAAATAACCCCCCTCCCTGTGTTTTTCTACTTTGGGTTACACAGCACCTGCCACACTCTAGCATTTACTACTGAGGACTTCTTACCTTTTCCAGGTTATATATTTAACAAGCAGCAGAGACTAGTACCCACCTCTCATTAAAGTTCAATTAAAAACACAACCGCCCAGGACTGCACACCGACTCCCCACCTCCTACAAACCTGGACTGATCCTATGATACAACACAAAGACCCGGCCTTCACATCAGAGATGATGACTCTGTGTGCCATTGTACTGTAAGGATTCAGGTGTCCACATAATCCACTCTACTAAATCTCTACTGCTCCACAATGGTGCCTGGGGTGGGCAGAAGGGGAGAGAGGGCCCCATGGAGCTTTCCTGAAAACCTGAGTGTATAATACAAGAGCTGCCAATAACATGCGGACCAGAAAGCATATGTGTGTTTTGCAGGAGGTAGGAGGTGATGAGTAAAAAGCATGACTGAGAGCAGCAGAATTCTGTACTGAAGAATCTTCCTTCTTATGGTGACATCCTCAGTTTAACCCCAGAGATCCACAAGACCAAATGTGATTAGCCTGCTAACAGAACGGGTCTCTGACTGAGTCTTCTCCAGGGCTGAAATTTAGCTCTGACATTCCACTTCAGTGGTATTAATATCTAACATGCTTTAACTGCACAATTACATAAATCAAGACGGACAAGGGGAGAGGAACCAGAGGGCCAGGCTCGGTTGTTTGGTGCTTTTCACCCACAGAGTCTGACAGGCCCTTGTAAAGGGGAGGTGCAAGATACCTGCTGAGTTGAGGCCCCCGACGGCATAGATAAGGCCAGTGATGGACGTACAGCAGCGAGGCCGAGTTCGGAAAGCCGGCAGGTGGGGTCGGTGCTCTGGCATGAGGTGATAGTCCTTTGCTTCATCTATTAGGTCCCTGGAATAAGGTGCAAGATGTTGGGACAGATGGTCTCCTCCCCAGGGGGTCCACACTTCCATTTCTGAGCATGGCTCCCACCACCACCAATTACAGGGAAACATGGGAAGAGAAACCTTCTGCAAGGCTTGGTCTTGAACTCAGGTGGGTCTAGGGTAAGCCATACACAGCTACTGAGACATGCTCAAAATCGGAGGGGCAAGATGAGAAGAGCCCACCTCAGCTAGTGTAATCAGAATGATTATCTTCTAATGTGCATATTCCTGGCAGGAGAAAAACAGGGTGGCTGGCCTTGCAGAGGTTCAACAAGCAACTTGCATCCTGTCACCACTGAGACCCAGCTCTTCTCTTCCATCCCCATAGCTCACACCTTGAAACTTCTCTCCTGTAGACTGTGACAGCAGAAACCTGGTGGATTGCTCCTGGTGGATTTCCCTGCCTCCAGCCCCACCCCTCCAAGCTATCATTCTAAGAACCTTTGATAGCTCCCCATTGCCTACAGGATAAAGTTCAAACTCAACACTTCTTCCTGATACACATCATTGCACTGCTTGCTTCCTCCTGAATATGATAAGTAATCTGGAGAAAAATGATCACTTTTCTCTGCTGCTGTACTCTCATAGTGACCGTCCTACAGGGCTACCACCTTCTGAGCTGTTTTGGTAGTTCTGCTGTGCCATATCAATTTGCTCTGGGTAAAAGTTTCATGTGCTGGTAAACATGCTCCCCACCAACCCCCCGACCCATCACTGCAGATGCAGGTCTAAACCCAGTGGATGCCAGAGCACTAATGTTTACTGAAGAGGGCACGATACCCCAAGAAGTCACCACTAAGTCAGCTGCTGATGTCGATAGTGTCAGGGCAGACACGACAGATGCCTGTAGGTTCATAAATAGCTCAATGGATGGGGATGTTAGAAAACCCTAAGATAACTTAGGGGAGAAAGCCCCTTCTGCCATGATGCTCAAACATGGCACACTTCTCTGCCCATGGTGTTAGGACTTGGGTTCTTCCAGGTTCTAGATAGAAGGCAGATCACTGTGTGCCATGAATTAAGGCTGACCACTCCAAAGCTTCCATCCCTAGCTGGAACAGACACGGCCTAGATGGCCAAGTTCTCTCCCCCTGCCCAGGCTCTCAGCAGTATCCTGTGCAGGGCCACCCTCACTCACCTGCACTTGTGGCAGCAACGCACCAGGTCATCCTGCTGCACTTGGTCTGACAGGAACTGGGGCCGGCAGAGGGGCAGGCGGATGTTGGACAACAGCTCAGGCAGGCAGGGCCCTCTCTGTTCCGGGTCGTATCTGACCCAGGCCAATGTGGCTTCAAAGACCTGCCAGGACAGCGAGTGGAAGCTCTGCCAGGGACTCTTCCTACCCTGAGGCCACATCCCTGCCCCTCAGTCTCAAGCCCTCCACCCCCTATACCGCTAGAGTAATCAGAATGAGTACCAGTGCGACAATCAATTTTTCCTCCTCCTTTTCTCCTGAATCTGTTTCCTCTCTACTTCCTCTGTCACCTTTTTCGGTCCAGTCTCTTGAAATGCAAACCTAGGTCAGTGTAACAGCTCTGGCCTTCTATTATGACTTCTGAATGAAACCCTGTCAATGGTTCCTTATTCCTTTCCTTATTGCAACAAAATGCCAGTCCCCCTTCCTTCCTGCTGTTCTTGCGCCCTACTCCTCAACACAATCCCCTCTACTCTAGCCAGACTGGCTGCTCTGCTCTTCAACCCGTCTGGTCACCTAGAGTGCCCCTTATCTCTTCCTGTTCATCTCAACTGACTCGCCTTTAAAGCGTGGCTCCAAATCTATGTTCTCCAGCCCCAAGGACATCCTGCTCTGTAACCCTACAGTCCTTACCAAATGTATCACTCCAGTAAGTGTGAGCTGCCCCAGGTCAGGTCACAGTAATTAGTGGAAAAGCTACAGACAGAACTTCTTGCTCCTGGGATGGGGCTCTTCCCTCTAAACCACAGCACTCAAGCTGCCACGCCCAGGGGCCACTTTTCTATTGCTCACCAATACTCAGGAGTGAGGGCTCTTCTGACATTAAGGAAAGGAGCTGAGTTGGGCTAACCTCCCAACGGCTTGCCTCCTGGAATCCAGGGTTCCTCCTCCTGACAGGCCAGGGCTCTTGATTTCGAGTATCGCAAGGTGCTCTGCCAAGGGCTTTGGTTAGACTTCCCAGCTGACCGACTGCACAGAGGCCTAGGCACAGTGGTGCTCTCAGTGCCTGCAGGGCCAGGGCCAGACTTCTCACCTGGCATCCGACTTCACTGCTCGGGCCTTGTCACCCTCTGTTCAAAGTAACATTATTCACTCTCCTCTTGAGACAACTTGCACCACACCTTTGTTGAGTAGAAAGGATCATCCTTCACTGCTTTCTGACTACAAACACCCTACACTCTTATTTAAGCTCTTCTTGACTGCCTTCGAGGACCTGATGATGATTCGCACCTCGCTCTGCCAATGGCTTCACCTCATCCATGATTTTAAGCAAGCCAAACCTGACCAGTGCCTCCGATCCTGTCAGCTCAGTAACTGGTGCCAACTAGCCTTCCCCACTACTCTCTCCCCACCAGCCTCCCTCCCAGGCTACCCATGGGCCTATTTCCTCACCTCTCACTCGCCCAGCATGGGTTCTGCGGGTTACTACACCAGCGCCTCCAGTTCCCATGCATGCACCTATCTCCCTTGGTCACGTGACCTGGAAAACCATCTCCACCCTAGTGAAGTCCAGCTCTTTAAATTCAACTCACCCCCTACTCTGCACCTGCACCAATATATGCGGCGGACAGAAAACACCCTAATGAGCTCACAATCTATTTTAAATTTGTGACTGCTGATCTGTCAGGCCCTGCTCCCCTTCAAGCCCTCTTCATCTCTCCACCATCCATTAACACACGCTCCTCATAGAGGGCTAGTTCATGCCTCTGTGCCTTTCCTCAAATTTCCAACACTCCTCCTGTATCCTCATTTTCAGCTAGGAAAATAGAAAGAAGTTGGAAGACAACATCCATAGACTCTACCACCATCTTGCTCTCCCACCAACATCTGGGTGCGAGCTGACCTCCCTTCTCTCCTGCCCTGGCGGATATGAGCGGCTTGCGCCCCTATCAAATACACACCCTTTGTGCCCCAGACTCCGTCTCTTCTCACTTACTCCAGGTAATCATTCCAGCAACTATTCTCCCTTTTCTACTGCATCACCAGTTCTTGTCTTTTCTGGAAAATTCCCATCAGCAGTCAAATATAGTGTAATTTTTCTCACCTTAAAAAAAACTTCCTCCTGACTTCACATTTTCCCCCAATGACTGCCCCAAATGCTCCTCTCCTTTATAATAAGACTCTTTCAAAAAGTTATCTATGGTTATTTCTAGCTCATAGTAGCATTATCTCTAATAGTAAATATTGGAAATAACCTAAATATCCAAGAATAAGAGATGCAGGGTTGATAAAATCAATTAAATATTATTCAGACACAAAAATGTATAGAAAAAGTGTCCATGAAAAATGCATGTGGTAGAATAAAACAAACCCATAATAAACAACAGCTGCATGTACATTAGGATCTAGGGAAGGGAAGGGAGGGGAGAGGAGGGAGGGAGGGAAGGAAGGGAGGAGGGAGGGAGGGAGGGAGGTGAGAGGGAGGGAGGGAGGGAGCAACGAAGGAAAGAAGAAACAAAAGAAAGGAAGAAAAGGAAGGAGAGCAAAACAAAGATCAGCCAGCCCTGGTGGCACCTGCTGACCACTGCCACACTCTACAGACCTGCTCTTCTGATTGCACATTCAGCTCATCTCGAGACACCAGCTCAAGCACGTCTTCCAAGGGCAGGGCCAGGAATTCTTCTGACATGGACACATCCACAAAGTGCTGGTGGATGAAGCTATTAGCTGCGTCGTACAGCACAGCACACATCATGGTCTCGGCAAACTGGCGGACACCCAGACAATTCTTTGGGTGAAGCCTTTTGACGTAAGAAAAGATGAAAAGAAAAACTTTAGAGGAAGAATGTTACCTTCGATCACTCTCCAGTTGATTCTGGATAGAGTACAGACTAGAAAACCATAAACTTTGCCCTCAGCTTTTTGGAAACTCCCTGTGTGACATCAGGCTCACTGCTCAGGGACTCAACTTAGAAGGGTATAAAGTTAAGACAGATGATCCTCAAAGGCTGCAGCCCCTTGGGCCAAGTGTTCTGTGTGTCTAGGTGGAATGAGCTCTCCAGAAGACCCATGAAGCCATTCTCAGGAAAGAACAGGAGAACATATACTAGAAAACCTGTTTACTTTCCATCAGCTGTTGACATTATTGGTTGAGTGTCTGCCTCTGATTACCAGAAAGACACTGAATTTGCAGAATGAGGTTTAAACCACTAGAGAGAAAACTTCTCTAACATCAGGATGCTTATACTTTTTAATTTTTTTAACAGAAAGAGGAGCTATATGTCTAACTGTTCAGACATCCAGAAACAGCAATAGCAGCTATCACTTACTTGGCAGCACCAGTGAGTCAAGTGCTTTTCTATGCCTTTTACACATATTTTCAAGAATCTTTTCAACACTGCAAAGAGGTAACTGCTCTCATTTTTTAGATAGAAAACTGAGGCTCAGAGAAACTAAGAAATGTGCTCATAGTCCCTCTACAAGCAAGCGGTGGTGCTGAGATTGAACCTGGCCTCTTGTGCACATTCCCATGGCCCCAAGGCAGACCTACACTCACTGGGCAATGGGGTAGATCCTGGTCCTGCTTCTCACTAGTGACCTGGGTGGGTTCCTCAAGTGTCAATAACAGCCTCACCTGGAAAAAGGTAATGACAACAGCTACCCACCTCCTAGGGCTGTGGCCAAGATTAAGTAAGAATGTAGGAAAAGCATCAGCATGGTGTCTGGTGTGAAGTTAGCTGCTGTTTTAACTTTTATTATGGTTATTTTTCTTACTACTATTGCATCTGAGAAAATCCCATGTTTGGTGATAGCAGTAGACTGGGGGATGAAACTTTGTACTTTGATTTTGTGATTGAGAATCTGTGGAGGGAGATGGTATTTATCATATTAAAGCTTCCAGGTTTACTCTTCTTCATTAGAATGCTTTCTCTTTTTTCCCTCCATGTTAAGATTATAGGCACAGAGTCATACTTACTAATCAGTAAAAAGCCTTGTCCCCAGTGGGAGACATGTTAGGGACTCAGGGACTGTAAAGGCAGAATATCTCAGGAGCCTGGCTTTATGAGTAGTCTGAAGTCTACATAGCTATTGTTTCAGTCCAGCCTAAACTGTATCTGTCCATTTCTTTGGAAACCAATGTGCACTTCCAAACATCAAGGAAACGTGAACACTGAGCAACACTCAGGCAAGGCAGCATGGCCAGTGAGGAATACAGGGCTCAACGTTAGCATGTCAGCTGAGTCATCTGTCAGATAATGCCCTTCTCCTGGAGTACTCACGGTGACTGAATGAGACTTGTTAAAAGCACTTTACTATGGCAGATATGAGGATATATCTTCCCTGGGCCTCTAAGGCATATGCTTCACTCATCCCTACTGCTCTGACATCAACCGAAGAGGAGGAGTCAAATGCCACAGACTGGGAACTGGACAGAGTACAAAGATGTGGGAAAGGGTGGTCCATATAGATGCTTGGTATACATTTCCATCCTCTACCTCTCAGGATTCCTGTACCTACCTTTGGCTATCTGACTGGCTTGGCATTAATACTGGGTGCAAAACACACCTATAACCGAACTGGGCTTTCATGTCTATTAGGATGGGATATGGGAAGCCTGTGAGGCAACTGGTGGGAAGGAGGAAGGAGAGCTGCCACGCAGGAGCAAGAGGGAGATATGCGGGAAAACATACCCAAAAGGTTGACGAAGCCCCACATCTTTCATTAGTCACATCACAACCTCCTTTCTTGCTGACATAGCTGGACTTTATAAGCAGGAGGCCACAATAAGATGTAATGTTTTATCAGAGACCAGAAGCAGTGACTTGAATTCAGTAAGTTATTAGCTTGGTTTACTGATGTACCTGATGTTCTGATCCAGTTCTGAGAGAAGAGTTTCAGAAAATACACAGCTTTGGTGCTCACCTAAAATCAAGGAGGTCCACATCTGAAGGTGTGAAAAGGGCACGAGAAACCAATCAACTCTAACCTCATGGGAAAAAGCAGTAGGCTGAAGATTTATCAGGCAGGGTGGCCTCAGGAGCTATTGCTCTAAGGCCTTTGGTGGTTCAGCAACCTCTCTGTGCTGTCATGCTCTGTCTTGGCCACCACTGCTCAGAATGGGTTCCTTCAAGTCATTAATAATCAAGCCTTCAAAGTGAAGGGCCTGCATGCTTGTCTTTGAGGGCAAGGGGGGATGGAAGGGGATGGCTAGGAGACCCCATCACACTTTGTAGCCAGGGCCAGGGAGAGCTGCCCCAAGGAACAGAAGAAGCAGTGATGGTGGCCACCTGAAAGGAAACAGGAAGCAGGCCAAGTCTCTGGGGCCTGTGGCAGAAAATACAGGAACAAGTGTGAATTTAGGTTCAGAAGGGGTCTTACAGTGCCAAATGAAAATAACTCCAAGGACAGACTCAAAACATCAGGCTTTGTGTTTAAGTACCTTTTCCTAAAAGGCATGTGTAAAATCCACACTGGTCTAAAAATCACTTTTCTTGGCATCTTTTAGTTGATGCTGTAACAGTTTGGAACCAGTGTTGACAGTCATGACCTCAAAAGCCCCTAGGTGGAGCTGCTGTGCCCTATGTGAGTGGCCAACTGAGTCTTTTCCGGAGTCCCTACTAATCATGCTCCAGCTTCTGCGGGAGCACTGAGATGAGTGCAGTTTAGTCTGTGTCCTTAAGAAGCTCACAAATGAGTCTGAAAGATGGTGTGTGCCCCGCAAACCCCCACATCCATTCCCTGCAGCCTGACCCAGGAGGGCATCCCAAGGTAAGGGCAGGCCAGGCTCTGGGGCTGCTGCATTCTCACTACATGGTCCTATCTGCAAAACCCAGAACCCGAATCAGCCTTAGGATGAAACCTTTAACTCCATGACCAGAAGAGCATGTTAGGCATCATTCTCATGGTTATAGAGGCTAGCTGCATACCCAGCAGTGCTCAGAGCTGCTCCTGAGCACATGGGCAAGATGTGGAGAGCAGTGGGGTCCACAGAGCTGCTGGGTGGACTGGATTGGTGCAGCAGGAATGGGAGAGGGAGACGTCTGCTCTAAGAGGGGAGGTTTAGGAAGGTACATCTGCGGCAGGAGGAATACTGGTTTTCAGGCCAGGAACTGTGCAATCATAGTAGCTCAGATGGAGTCCAGGCCTTGGAAAGCACCACAGACAAAGGGATACTGTTAAGGTTTCTCTCTGCTCATGTTAGCCCAACACTAACTCTCACCCCCAAGTTTAGTAATTAAAAGGTGGCTTTGACCCTATGGATAAGAGCTCTGCCTCTTGATGGGGAAGAAAAACCTTCTTATCTGCTGTCATCAAATAGTCATTGCTAAGTGCTATACCTAGGTTGGGGTGTAACTCATGTTCCTTACCCTAACCTTACCCTAATACAAGAATTGCTCCTAGGAGGCTGAGGGAGACAGAGAATTCCAGGAGGTGAAATTTGGGTGGGCTCTTGAAGAGGTGAAGGAAAAACAAAGGTCAAGAAAATCAAGGCAGGGAAAAGAGGTACAGAAAGATGGAGACAGCTGTGGAACAGTCAGGCAACACTGAATAAATCAGTTTGGTGAGAAATCAGCTAAATTTGTGGTCAGATTAGAGCAAGAGGACCAAAAGAAAAGGTACAGGTGAGGGTGTGGGCAGAGCCTCAAAGGTTCATGCCAAAGAAATGGGTACTGCTTGGTACAATGTCAAGAAAAGTCCTTTCTGCAGAGTAACCTTCCAAACTCACTCCCTTCATAAAACCCCATACACTCCAAAGACTCAGTAAAGTGGCAGGGGGTTTCAGAAATGAATGCTCATGCTCCCCCACGGGCCAGGCCCACCACACCATCTCACCGCTCTCGGAGGAACGTGCAGCAAGCGTCCTTGATACTCTGCAGCTGTAGGAAACTCGCCCCCATCAGCAATGACTGGACATTCTGCTGGTCAATGGCAAGGTGGCCATTGTAGGCAAAGTTGATCAGAGCCTCCAGGGCACTAGAAGAAAGAGTAAAGATGCTTTTTAGAGGATCTTGGCCTAAGTAAGACTCAGGCCCTAAGTGGGCTGACATTACTACCAGGGAATGGATGGGCCCCATTCTAAAATCCATTTAGCTTATGCTCTTTGAGAATCCATCTGAATGGGATAATTACTTCATCATAGCCAAGGACTCACTCTATTTCTTAAGTTGTCTTTATGCTCAAGTAATTTCAGTACAGAAAATTCTAAAAGAGAAAGCAGTTACCCCAAATCACACTACTTAATAAGTCAACGATGGTCTTTTTTCTGGGTTCATTTTCACTCCCTATTTGCCTTCATGCATAAATTATATGTATATAATCCTATAATACTAATGAAATTCTTTTCCACTGCACCACACTGCCTTCATGTTTATTGTTTTTAATATATGCTACATAGTATGTAAGTAAGCTATAATTTATATCTCTTCTTGCTAAGTATAATAGCTATTAACATCTTATTACCATTACAAATAATGTTTCTGGATTTTTTTCCTTTTTTTAAACTGACATATAGCTGATATGCAATATTATATTGGTTTCAAATGTGTACATAGTGATTTGACAAGATGGAATGTATTCTTCTTCATTGGGACAAATTTCCAGGATGAGATTATTTTTCTGCCTTCTAACTCACACTGAGAATGAAATCCAAATTCTATCGGGCTGTATGTGGTCTGGCCCCTCTCCATCTCTCAGACCATCACCTTCCACTCTCCTGCCTCCCTCTAATCCAAGATATGGATCACACTCTGCCTCGGAGCCTTTGCACTGGCTGCCCCCGCTCTTTGGAGGGCTCTTCCCTCAGATGACTCACTCCCTCACTTCAGTTAAGGTCTCTGCTTAAATGTCACCTTATCACAGAGGCCTTCCCTGCTCACCTTGAAATAGCACAGACCCCTACCATCATTTGCTAGCCTTTACTCTGCTTTACTTTTCTCACACTACTTTCACTCCCCAGCCACAGCATGCATGTATTTGTTTATTGCCAGATCCCCACTACTAGAAAGCTGGCATGTATGAAGTGCTTTCTGTTTTCTCCATGCTATAGCTTAGGGCCTACAGCAGCACACATCACAGGTGCTTAGCCTCCCTCTGTTAACTGAAGCACCTGAATGGTGTGTGCATGGTGACTGGCACTGCTCCTTCCCATACAGACCCCAGGCAAAAGTGTACAACGCCCTTGGAGACCCACTTCCATCCTTCCTTATGAGTAGCTGGTTGGAGCTTTCTTCCCTGCAGTGGATATATAAACCCTCTCCGTGTACGGGGGCAGATCACCTTCAGTCATCCAGAGGGTACCAGGGTTTCCTAGCATCTTTCCACCTCATTTTCACATTGTGAGATTAAGAAGTTAGGCAACAAATGATGAGTTATTGGCTACTGTTTTAGAGTCACTGGTTTGTTTATTTTCTCTACCCCCATGAAAATGTCATTGCTCTGAGTCACCTATGTATCTTGTTTGCTGGTATGTCCCAATCCAGAACAATGCCAGATACAGAGTGGGTATGCAGTGGACTCTTGGATACAGCCTGGGTTATAAACACACAGCCTTAGTTCACAGACTTGCAGCAAAATCTTTTAAGTCACATAAACGTGCCTATTTCCTTTCAAGGTACAAAAAGCCATACTATGGATTATGTTTAAAGTCTTCAGGTAAGTATTTCCATGAAGAGGAAGTAGTGACACTAGGTATAAGGATGACTTCAAGCAAGTGCCTAAATGATGTGATTTCAGAGATATGGTACTGCCTCCTACCCCTAAAATTCACTGAAGGGAAAATTTCTCAGCCTTGGCACTACTGACATTCAGAGCCAATAGTTCTTCGTTATAGAGAGCTGTCTTGGAACTGAAAGACAATTAGACAAGGGAACCTTTGTGCTTGACCTCCTTGGGCTTCAAATAACCACAATTTCTGCCAGCACCTGCATTGTCCCATACTACAGACATAAGCCACACCTGGCTATTTAAAATTAAATCTGATCAAAATTAAATAAAATTGAAAATATAGTTCCTTAGTCCCCCCAGTCACATTTCAAGTGCTCAACAGCTACATGTGACTAGTGACTACCATTCTTGAGGGTACAGGGTACAAGCAGAACACTTCCATTGTTGCAGAAACTTCTAATGTACAACACTGCCCTAGACCAGTGAAAAGGGTAACAAACAAAGACACTTTGAAAAACTGTTCTGCAAAGGAAAAACTGAAGGAACAAAACAGCAGCGGAATTACAGAACCCAAAAATGGACTAACAGGTACCAAAGGGAAAGGAACTGGGGAGGATGGGTGGGCAGGGAGGGATAAGGAGGTGGGGAGAAGGGGGGTATTAAGATTAGCATGCATGGGGGGGAGGGAGAAAGGGGAGGGTGGGCTGCACAACACAGAGAGGACAAGTAGTGACTCTACAACATTTTGCTAAGCTGATGGACAGTAACCGTAATGTGGTTGTTAGGGGGGACCTGATATAGGGGAGAGCATAGTAAACATAGTATTCTTCATGTAAGTGTAGATTAAAAATTAAAAAAAAAAAAAGAAAGAAAGAAAGAAAAGGGGGATTACTCCTTAACAGGATAAAACTATTGGTAAATCAAAGATCAACGCATGCTTTAAATATCCTTAATGTTGATCACTTAAAGGGTGTCAGATGATCAGCTATGGAGGTACTCTTTTCTGATAATATTCCTTTCTCTTAATAAAAAAAAAAAAAAAAAGCAGTTACTGTGTGCTGACCTCCAATGAGTTCTGCACAGTGGTATAGAGGGCATGTCAAAGTGTGGGCAAAGGGTCTGTTTGTTTCTACGCAGAAGATCAAGGCCTAGCTTGGATACCCAGAAAATGAACTAAGATACGATATGAGGAGGAGCTTCCGGCATCAGCACTCTCTGGAGGACTCGTGCCGGGGGATGATCATCAAAAAGCCTCCACAGGGATCCGGACGATGCTGCGGTTGTGGCTGCATCCAGCCCACCGTCTCCTGGACTTGCCATAAGAAGGAGGAGGGAGATGTCTAGGCTGGCATGTGCATACAGTGAGACAACGAATTTGACTGGATCTGTACTGTTGGAACTCAACCAGGAGTTGGGAGGGGTGCAAGTTGTAGCACCCCAAAATCTCATGACTATAGACTATCTATGGTTAAAAGAACATATGGGATGTGAACAGATCCCAGAAATGGGCTGCTTTAATTTGTCTGATGGTTCAAGTACAGTTGGACAATATCCATCATATCATAGATAAATTTTCACAAATGCCTAGGGTGCCTAAATGGTTTTCTTGGCTTCACTGGAGATGGCTGGTAATTATAGATTTGCTTTGTTTATGTCACCGTATTCCTATTATGTTAATATGTGTGTGCAAATTAGTTAGTAGTTTAAAACCTATACATACTTAAGGTACTATACAAGAAGATATGTCAAAGAAATAATCAATCCTCCCAAGTTTCCTTCATATGCTACATCTATAGCTTTTCTTCTTCCTTCCTAATTACAAACCTTAAATAGAATTCGTGCCTCATATCGAATTTACCGAGTATCATAATTCCTCCAGGTGGTAAAGATACCTCGAGACAAGTGCTGGGCATAGAAGCCACAGGGCATAAATCTGCAAAGAAGTAAAAAGCTAACCTTTGCAAACAATATGGCTTCTCTCTCACTTACCAACTTTACATTTCCCTGTATGGCCCCGGAAGATGACTGGTTAGCCAGAGACGGGTAAGATTCCTCAAGGGAGGAACAACCTAAGACAGGCACAGTCGCAGGGGGGCCATCAGGTGAGAATTTGGGGATCAACAGAGGTGAGGCTCAGAACCTCACCCCCCCTGCTTTGAGAGAAATCTTCTGCATCCGTGGATGTCTTGCTGCCCTTGTCTAGCCTGGATTAATACTTAGTCCATAGGCACACACCTGATCATCTGATCATCTACATTTGCCCTCTTACAGCACTAAACTATGTTTTCTACCTTTATCTTGCATCTACCTACCACTTCAGCATTTTATTAAAAATAAAAATAATAATAATAATAAAGGGAGAAATGTGGGATCAACATATAAATCAAGTACAAAAATCAAACGAATATTCATATTTGACCTGATTGTTTATAGGTCATAATGCGTGATCAAAACCGAAAGTTTCTGTGATGAATGCCCTTGTACTGTTCACCATGTAAGAATTTATTCACTATGTAAGAATTCATTCAACATGTAAGAACTTGTTTGTTATGCTTCAGAAGATTGGAGAATGACGAGAATTAGGCTTGAGATGGATTAATGATTGTACATTGAGCATTGACCCCCCTATACTGAATTTTATTGTTGTTAACAACCATTTGATCAATAAATATGAGAGATGCCCTCTCAAAAAAAAATATTTATAAGTTTTCCTTTTATCAAATATCTCTGTATATATAAGCAAGAATGTGCAACTATTAATTTATAACACAAACTAATTAAAAATTAAATAAAAAAAAAACTGTTCTGCCAGCTAAAACAGCACAGCAAAGTGCAGAGAATCATATACCACCACCTCTGTATCCAGTCCTAGCTTTAAAAAGTATCTTGGACTCTAGTTCCCATTAACTGTGTTACTCTAATAGAGCAAAAACACATCAAAACACTCATTTCAACCCTGTCTCAGGCCACTGGCTGTGGTTCCAAGTTGTTTACTAGTCACCTATTATGTGTGGGGAGCTGTGCTAGATACTGCGGCCCAGGCAGGCCCTCAAATGGCGCCCAGCACAAGGCTGCAGCAGCACCTGGAAAGCAGCCGGTGAAACCTAATGGAGGAATTAGTACCTTGGGTCCATTCCTTGCATTACAATCTCATCCTGCTTGCACTCCATCATGTCATTTGTAAACATAGCGTGGAAGTACGGGATTGAGGCTGCTAAGACGATCCGGTGAGCACTGAATTTGTGGTCCCCAATCTGTGGGCAAAGTAAAATACAAAGACAGATACTGAGGAATGCAAATAGAAAAACCAATCTGCCCCTTCCACAGCTTAACCCTCTGCCCACTGGAATGGTACTAAAGACATCCAAGGGCAAGATAGCCAAGGCTTGACACAGAGACCCTGAAGTATTTTAAATTCGATATACCCAGTTCTAGTAGAAGAATGTAAACAATACATTTTAATGAGGTATTTAAATTGTTGAAAAATGTAAGCCTGAATGCACTGAGTGGTAGTTTTTACTTATATGGCCATTTTCACTGCATCCTTCCCAACTGACCCACCAACTCAAAGATCTGATTTCTTTGATGCTTCATCCTGATCCCAGTTTTATTAGAACCCAGATGGAACAGACAGGAATCCTGGAGCTCCTAACAGTGGGTTCCTCAAGAAGAGTAAATACATAGTGACAGGAAGAGATGAGGAGAAAGGAGACCAGACTTGAATAGGGAGCACATGTGGGTATCAAGGACAAAACAGGCATCATGGGCACAAATGTTGGGGGGTCCTGGGACACCATCAAGGCTGTGGAAGACCACAAGGAGTCTGAGTTCCTCTTAGGAACATGACCCTGTGGCAGCCAGCTGGAACTGGTGCTGCGGACTGGTTGGTGCTCTGTGTGGTACACAGATCACACAGGGACAGACTCACATATTCGTACCAAACCCTCACCGAAATATCCTTGGCCTGGACAGTTCCATCAAGTACTTTCCAATTATCCGCCACAAGGAGAATCCTTTAAAAAGCTTTGCCATTTATAGTTCCAAGCCAAAGAAACATATCCACTGAAGAACTTTCTACTCATTAGAATGAGGAAAAGTTTTTTTTTTTTCCTTCACCAAGCTCCACATTAGTGAAATGTCAGAGCACCTCATTACCTGATGCTCATCTCTTTGTGTCACATTTATTCAAAAATTCTAGCTCAGGTTCGGTCACTGTGTCCTCTTTTTCACCCAACTTTAGGATCATTATTTGTAAACTGTTCTTCAGGATCACACATACAATCTTCCAAATACCAAAGAGCCTTACCAGACTCAGATTCTATGAGTTTCTCATATAATCCATATGTTGCCTGAGTACTGGTGTTGGAGACATTTAAAGGCTGCATGTTTTGGGGGTTTTTCATAATTAAAATAAATTACAGTAATACATACAAATATTTCTTGAAATTGTTCTACAAGGCTTCTGATGAAAACCAGCAGTTTTTGGTTCCCTTATTCCTGCTCCCAAGGGTGACCTCTTTCTTTTGGTGTTTATCTCCACCTTTCTAAGTAACATGCCTATAGTACTACTTCTTAAACTTTCACTTTCAGTTGTGACTTGGTAGTCAGTCTGGAGATAGCTCCCAGTGATCCCTGCCTCCTAGTATTAACACACTTGTGCAGTTGCCTCCCACAATGTCTCAGGGTTGGTCTGTGTGACTGACAGAATATAGCAGAAGTGATGATGGCATATCACATTCAAGGTTAGCTCCTAAAAGGCACTACAGATTCCTTTGATTGTCTCTCCTGGATCACTTGCTCTTGGGGAAGCCACGTATCAATACATCCTGAGGAGAGGTCCACATGCAGAGGAACCAAGGCCTTCTCCTACACCTACCTGCGTGAGCTTGGAAGAAGATCCTCCAGCCCCAGTGAAGCTTTCAGATGACTGCAGCCCAAGGTGACAGTGGACTGCAACCTCATGAGAAATCCCTAAGCTGCTTCTTAATTCCTGACCCACAGAAATGAGAGATAAATATTCATTATTTGAAGTCCCTGAGTTTTGGAGTAATTTGTTAGACAGCAAAAGGTAAAATGTAACTAGGTAATATAATAGTTATGATGGAAAATTAGGATTTCATTCTGACACTCTCCTCATATACCACTCTACTTATCCTCTCTCTCTTTCCAATATGATTATGTCAAATTTTGGTTAAGAGTCGCATTATTAGATATATACAAATATTATGTGTAGCCAACCATAATGTATGCTATGATTACATTTCCTGTTTGCATAATTAAAATTTTCCCTGGAAATAATAAGAGTATAAAACTCTTAATAATATGTTCAATCTTGTACCCTATCAGTTTGTTCTTGAGACATTCCTACTGGATCTCTGTCCTTCTAGAAATTTGTTTCACTTCATCTATATTGGAATCCCTATTTCTTGGATCCCATTTACTCCTCTTTCTTATTTATTTCTGTGTCTGGTGAAAAGCGTCTTCCAGTAGAGCTTTCTAAAAAAGAGTGTACTATAAATTGTTTTTACTCATAGCACTTCTGATAAAATATGTAGGTTTTTTTTTCTCACATCAACCAATTCCCCAACTCTCGAGACACAAACTGGTATCCCACATTTAATTTAAGTCTGACCCTAACTATCTAGAGATAGTGCATACCCCACTGGTTAAGGGTTGAGTCCCAGAAGACTGCCCCTGCTTGAAATGCCAATCTAGGCCACTTATACTTTTGATGAATCAGCTTAGAAAGCTGAGGGTGGGGAGGTTCTCCACAACCCCCTCCTCTGGTCAGGGGAAACAGTTCACTTACTATTAATGGTTTATTATAAAGGATGCTATAAAGATACAAAAAAAACCCAGCTTAAGACGTACACAGGGCAAGGTCTGGAAAAGTCCCAAGCAAAGAAGCTTATAAATCCATGGAATTAGGGTATGCCACCCTTCCAGCATGAAGATACATTCTCCAACCTGGAAGCTTTCCAAATCCCACTGCTCAGGGTTTCTATGGAGGTTCCACTGCAAGGCACAATTGATTACATTATTGGTCACTGGTAATTGATTCAATTGATTAGAGGGTTTGGATGAAAGGTCCAACCCTCTAATCACATGGTTGGTTCCTTTGGCAACCATCCCCATCCTGAAGCTATTGAGGGGCCCACAAAGGGTTGTCTCATTAGCATAAGCTCAAGATATCACTGATTACTCCTCTCACCCCTACCACTCAGAAAATACCAAGGGTTTTAGAAATTCTATGTCAGGAACTGGGAACAGAGACCGAATATAACAAAAAATGCTCTTATCACTCCTACAACTCAGGAAATTACAAGGTTTAGGTGCTCTGTGATAGGAACTAAGAACAAAGACAAAACACACATTTCTTATTATATCACAGTATCATAGCACGTATGTATAATATGTCTGAAAATGTCTTCATTATCCTTAAGTGTAGGTGATAGTTTAGCTGGTTATAAAATTCTAAGTTGGAATTTTTTGTCAGAATTTTGAAGGTATTGTTTTGCTATTCCAGTTTGTTGCTTTAAAAAAACCTAATGCCATTTTTTAATACTAACTTTGAGTGTGTCACTCCTCTCTCTAGGAGTTTTTAGGACTTTTTCTTTACTTTCAGAGTTCTAAAATCTCAGAGCTGTGACTTAGTGTTGTTTTCTTTCATTCATTGTGCTTATCAACCTATGGACATTATTTTCATTCTGGGAAGATCTTTTCATACCATTTCTTTGATAATTTCCTCCTCTCTAGCATCTATTTTTTCTCTTTCTCAATTTCCATTAGTTGGGTATTGGGCCTCTTGTAATAATCTTCTAATTTTTTTAATCTGTTCTCTATTTTTCATGTCTTCGATTTGGTCTATCTTCCAGGAATTTTCTTCAACTATATCTTTCAATATTTCTACTTTGTAACTTTTTATACTATCATATTTTAATTTCCAAGTGGCCTTTCTTGTTTTCTGAGGGTTCCCTTTTTCTCCTTTTAAATAATTTTTTCATCTTTCATGAATGCAATGTTTCTCTGATCTCTCTCAAGACATTATAGTTTAAAAAAAGTGAAAAGAAAAAAGATATTATAGTTAAATCTCCTCCTTCTCCCTGCTCTGTTTCCTCTGAGTTCTTTTCTCCCACGTTTGTTCTGGTATCTGTTTCTTATGTTAGAGGCTTTCTTTATATGCTTCCTTACACTTGGCTATCTGCTCACACTTCCAGAAACTGTTTGAAAGCTCTGTGTATGGAGGCTAGGTCTGTCAACTTGTGGACTTCACATTAGAGTAATCAGGCAAGAAGCTGCCATTTTATTGGGGACTCCAAGAGGTAGTATCTTTAGGACTTTCTCTCTGGGGCAAATTTTATCAGGGAAGGTTCTTCTGATCTCTTGCATGGCAATGCCTGCTACAGATACTCTGGAAACTGAGTGAGAGAGTGAGCTGGCCCTAACCATTCATTATCTAGAATTTTGTATTCAAGCCCTTATTTTCAGTTTTGTTCCATATTCCAGCCCTTCTATGTTTGGTGTGTCTTTGATTCAATATCTAAGAGTAAAACTTCTGTTTCCTGAGAGAGTTGGGGAGGAGTTGTAGACATTTGCTTGCTTTCACACAGACCTTCAACTAATCTTCCTGTTTTGAGTTTTGGTTTCTCTAAAACTGGAGCTATTCCAGGATTCTGCATTATAAATCCTCTTTCTTCTTAGTTTCTCCCCTTAGCAGGCACTTTCAGTTCCTCTGACCCACTATATTCATCAGATACACTGAGTGCCTCCATTGATCTCTCATTTGCTGATCTTTTTTCTCCCTTTTACTGTAACTTTAATGGGATTATGGGAGGGAATGGTGATTAAAATATGTGTTTATTTCCTGTGTTAAACTGCTATTCATTTATTTTTCATCTAGAAAGTAAAAAGAAGACAAAAGAACAAGCTGTATGTGTATGAACTGGGTGACCTAGTTTCCCAAAAAGCTCAGCTAAAGAGAAGGCAGGTCTATCTTGGAATTATGCTAGCTAGATTATATCTGAATTCTGTGTTCTGTTAAGAACAAATTTGTCTTTATCTAGAAAAAGGAGACCAAGATGGGAAAGGGTCTAAAAGCTACATCTTATGAGTGTTTAAAAAAGAAAAATAAGCCCAGAATTGAATCACTTGCTCCCCGCAACTAAGATTTAATTATAGTTTCAACCTATCGCAGGAATGTGGCCTTTAAATAGTCAAGATGAAATTTCCTCATCAGCCCTGGGGAGGTGATCTGCATCATAAGACCCCCTACCCTACTCTTCCCCCTAAGGGAAAGTGACATTGCCTGAAACAATCCCTTTTCTTTTGCTAATTAGTTCTTGCCCTACTCTCCCTCCTATAAAAACCTTCCATTCTGTATAATTCCTCAGAGAATCCCTCTACTTGCTAGATGGGATGCTGCCAGATTCATGAATTGTTGAATAAAGCAAATTATATGGATGAATTTTGTTTTTTAACATGAGGAATGGCTAAAGGATAGTTTGGAAAAGATAATTTAGGGGGGACACAATAGTTGTCCTGAAATCCTAGAAAGGCCATCACATGGATGAAGGCAGATCTAGAAGTTACAGGAAGTCTCACGTTAGTTTATCATAAAGAATAAAAGCCTGTCACCTAATAATTTTAGGGGAGTCTTTCACTGGTTTTAAAACTATTAAGGGGGACACCATCAGCAGAACAAAAAGGCATCCTACAGTATGGGAGAATATATTTGTAAATGACATATCTGACAAGGGGTTAACATTCAAAATATATAAAGAATTCACACACCTCAACACCCAAAAAGCAAATAACCCTATTAAAAAAATGGGTGGAGGATATGAACAGACACTTCTCCAGAGAAGAAATTCAGATGGCCAGCAGGCACATGATAAGATGCTCCACATTGCTAATTATAAGGAAATGCAAATTAAAACCAAAATATCACCTCATATCAGTTAGGATGGCCAACATCGAAAAGACTAGGGACAACAAATGTTGGCGAGGATGGGGAGAAAGGGGAACCCTCCTACACTGCTGGTGGGAATGTAAACTAGTTAAACCACTGTGGAAAACAATATGGAGGTTCCTCAAAAAACTAAAAATAGAAATACCATTTGACCTGGGAACTCTTCTCCTAGGAATTTTCCCAAAGAAAACAAGTTCTCAGATTCAAAAAGATATATGTACCCCTATGTTTATCACAGCACTATTTACAATAGCCAAGAAATGGAAGCAACCTAAGTATCCATCAGTAGATGAATGGATAAAGAAGATGTGGTACATATACACAATGGAATACTATTCAGCCATAAGAAACAAATCCTACCATTTGCAACAACATGGATGGAGCTAGAGGGTATTATGCTCAGTGAAATAAGCCAGGAGAAGAAAGACAAGTACCAAATGATTTCCCTCATTGTGGAGTATAACAACGAAGCAAAATTGAAGGAACAAAATAGCAGCCAACTCACAGACTCCAAGAAGGGACCAGTGGTTACCAAAAGGGAGGGGTGGGGGAAGGTGGGTGGGAAGGAAGGGAGAAGGGGATTGTGGGGTATCATAATTGGTGCACATGGTGTGTGTGGGGTCATAGGGAAGACAGTGTAGCTCAGAGAAGACAAATAGGGACTCTATGGCATCTTACTACACTGATGGACAGTGACTGCAATGGGGTATGGGGAGGGGACTTGATAATAAGGGTGAATGTAATGACCACATTGTTTTTCTTGTGAAACCTTTGTAAGAGTGTATATCAATGATACCTTAAAAAAAATTAAGGGGCCATCCAGTTCTACAATTTGAGATACTACACTTTTGTGAAAAACTTAAAAAAACCCAAATACCCATATTTGTAATCTCAGTTAAAAAAATACCACTTTAGACCTCCTTTTGCTAAGTATTCAGCATGCAATTTTTTTCATTTCAATCCTTATAGCAACCCTCTGCATTGAGTAGCTGCTGTGAATTCCATTTTACAGAAGAGGAAAC